AGAGGGAGAAGCAGGCCTCCTGCGGAGCAGGGAGCCCGATGCGGGGCTCGATCCCAGGACCCTGGGATCATGACCTGAGCTGAAGGCAGACGCTTAACAACTGAGCCACCCAGGCGCCACCGAAATTAAGGCAATTTAAATCACCTGTAGGTAAAAGAAGCAAGCATAGTGGAAATTTGAGAGGTATTTTTGTCTGGATAACAGTGAAAATTATGGGAAAGAACTAAAGCCCTGATTAAAGAGAAATTTATAGCATTCAGTGCATATATTAGGAAAGAAAGGGCTACAATTCACTGATTTAAATACCCACTGCAAGAAGTTAGAAAAAGAATAGTAAGTAAATGTAAAGAAAGAATGTAGAGAGAGGTTCATACAGTGGTGTTCTGGGTTCCTGTCGTAGCTTAAAGGGCAATTTTCACAGTGTCCAGAATATTTGATGTCCTGCAAATGAAGGAAGAGGGTGTTGTCAAATTCCTTGCAGCAGGAACCCACGCAGGTGGTACCAAGTACATCTACAAAAGGAAAAGTGATGACATCTTTATCATAAATTTGGAGAGAACCTAGGAGAAGCCTCTGTTGGCAGCTCATGCCATTGTTGCTGTTGAAACCCAACTGATGGCAGTATCATGACCTCCAGGAATACTGGGCCAGTGACTTGTGCCGTACTTCGCTGCTGACACTGGAGTCACCCCTTATTGCTGGCCACTTCACTCCCGGAGCCTTCACTAACCAGATCCGGGCAGCCTTCCGGGAGCCGAGACTTCTGGCGGTTACTGATGCCGGGGCTGACCACCAGCCTGTCACAGGGGTGTCTCGTGTTGACCTGCCTACCACAGCAATGGTAGAGCAACTCACCTGCTGTGTGTGGACACAGCCATCGCGTGCAGCAAGGGAGCTCACTCACTGGGGCTGATGTGGATGCTGGCCCAAGGAGGTCTGCGCATGCGTGGCACCATTTCCCGTGAACAGCTAGAGGAGGTCATGCCTGATCTCTGCTTCTACAGAGAGCCTGAAGAGATGGCCGGGGAAGAGCAGGCCGCTGCTGAGAAGGCTGTGACCAAGGAGGAATTTGAGGGTGAAGGGACAGCTCCAGCTCCTGAGTTCACTGCTACTCAGCCTGGGGTTGCAGACTGCTCTGAAGCGTGCAGGTGCCCTCGGTGCCTATTCAGCAGATCCCTCCTGAAAACTGGTCTGCAGTTCCCACTGCTCAGGCCACTGAATGGACAGGAATGACTACTGAGTGGTTTTAAGCTGTTCTTCCACAGACGCTTAAACAGAAAATGGAAATACGGTCGACAGACAATAAACGGTTTCTTTTAAAAAATGAAAGGAAAAAGAATGAAAGGAAAGAAATTGTAGAGCATGAATTAATGAAATAGAAAACATACATTTCAGTTCAGCTTTTGAAAAATTGATAATGCCCTAGCAAAACTGATCAAGAAAAAAAAAGAGAGAAGGACCGTCTCTCAGTGTAAGGAGTACAAAAGTGGCCATCAATGCAGATCTACAGCCATTACAGATATAATATGAAGGATATGATTAATAATTTTATCAAAAATTTTGAAATTTTATCCCAAATCAACACAAGAAGAAATATAAAATCTAAATAATTTGGGGTCTATTAAGGAAATCTATCTGTAGTTTAAAATTTTTCCTATAAAGAATATTCCAGGCCAGATATCACAGTGGGGAATACTTCCAGATGTTAAAGGAAGAAATAAACCAATCTTACACAATCTCTTCAGGGTAATAGGAAAAGATGGTACATTACCCAACTAATTTTATGGAAGCTGTAGATTATGCTCCTTACAGGGGAAGATTTCATTCCTGGAACAAGGCCAGAAGGAGCCTGGCTTTCTCCAGGACTTTGGCACACCCATCTTGCCACATCTGCCTAGGATATCCTTTAGGCCTTTGATCACTCCAGCTGTCAGCTGAGCCTCCAGGGCATATTAAAAGGAATCTTTTTTCGGACAGACCAAATCCATCTACAATATCTACAAAGCATATTTATCACATTACAGTTCTCTAGACAAAGCGTT